CTCTTTTGTTGTTACAGACACAGGCTCACCACTGATGGTGGCGAGAAGCCGAACTCGTCTTGACAGGCTAAAACGTCAGGACAGGATGGTCATGTCAAAATGATCGGAAACGATCAAACAACAGTTCCAACACCACGTAGACCTCTAGATGATATCTTACAAGGCAAAACATGATATTGAATTGAGATTTGTAACTTATGTGTGTTTCTTAGTGTGACCTGTTGTTTCAAAATTTGTTGAAGTCGTGAGAAGCGGTCAAGAATGAGGTAGTTTCGAAAAGCAGCACAACATAAAACCAATACCACAAGGAAAGCACCATACTTTATGCACTGAAGATGACCCGAATAAAGGTCGAAACGACGACAAAAAGATGAAAAAATTGTTGGTTTTTTTTCTAAACCATTTTCATTCTTGACCGCTCCTCACCACTTCAACAAACTTTGTAAATTATTTTATCCTAAATGTATTGTAAATAACCTATTTGGGTAGGTTTTATATTTTTGCTCAAACCAAACTTGCTGAGGACAAGCAGTTAAATAATCATTTAGTAATCATTTCCTGGAAACGATGGTTGAATTAGTTAAAACGCATCGATCAGAAAAAAACGGAAAATCGGTCCCAATTTTCCTAGCCATTTGAATATACATAAAATAAATCAAGTGATACACAGATCATACTTAGACCTTCGTAGTTCTATTTCGCAAATATATCGAAAATTGAAAAAAACATTGATCGCAGAAAAAACATTTAATCAAAGCGTATAATTTTATTTGTTTAAATTTATATCATTGTCTCATACAGGCACAGTTATAATTAATTAGACAACGAATACAAGGATTGTCCGTTCTCATTGTATTATTTTCCAGCATTAAAGACCAATAGCATTGAACAAGAAAGGAAAGGCATTTCATAATTACAAAGCCCAAGACTTCCAACGTTTTTAAACTAAATCCAAATTCCGTCCACTTTTCATAGCTTGTATACATTTTCAAAGAACGTGGAAAAAAGTTGAATCAAACTTGTTTCTGTACGACTTAGTTATCATAACTGGATTTAATGTGACTCATGAATTGCATACATCAACGTAGAAGGGAAATCATTCCGAACTAGCATAAGTCTTCACTCTATGTCCTGGATATTATACGAATCAGCTTTGATAATTTTTTTTAAAATCATGTATTTACTTTTTGACAAAGCGTTCGAAAGCAACTACTCTGTCCGTCTATTTATGTCCCCTTTATGGGCGAATATAAGTACATACAGACACGACACAATTGCACTTGAAAAGATTCGCCATAGACCGAATCGGGACGATTGCCAGCAGAAATAGTTCCGACACGATCTGCCACTGACCCCGACGTGAGCTTCCGGGCCTGGTGGAAAATCGGTTTTCCTTTTTTTTTTCCAACCCTTAAGAGTCTTATTTCCAAGGCCAGGAATGTAGGTCGAAACTGTTTTTATAGTACACCCTTGATCTTCATTCTTACAAACCTTTCGTAGTGGGATCTTATCCTCAAATATTTATTTATTTAATACGGATTAATCTTTTTATTTATAAATTTATAATACCAATCACGAGGTAGGATTAGGTGTGTGTGTGTAGATAAGAACTTTTTTCCACCTTAACATCTATCTTCTGAATTGTTAAGTAAGTTATTTTTATGATAAAAAAAGATTCTTACATTCATCACTGCCCAAGAATTCAATTTTGCTGAGAAAAAATGTTTGTTATAAACGACGCTCACAATAAAATATTATCTATCTATCTACGAGATATAAATAATCAAAATTAAAAATAAAATAACAAAATGTACAAATATACATATAAAATCGGGTTCACTACAAATTAGGTCATTACAACCCTTATTTTGTCCATAAAGACATTAAAAGTTAAATTTAAAAAAAAACCCGTCAATATTTTGAGAAATATTGTTGCCTTCTTAGATTAAACTAAATTATAGGTTAATAAAATAGATGACTTGCTTTACAAAATGGTATATTAAACAGAACTTAATGCTTGATTGGGTGGGATGGAATATTGAAAGAAATCAATGATACCACGTCAGGAATTAATAAATTAAAAAAAAAGGCTCCAAACAGCTAACACTGGAAGATTCCAAGAAGAAAATTCCATCTTTTACACAGGATAATGTTGGGTTTAGTTGGTATGTAGAGATCATCGGAGAGAGAGAGAGAGAGAGAGAGAGAGAGAGAACATATATAGAAACGTTGAGGTCATCAGCGTACAAGAAAAAGGGTGCAGCAGAAAAATTAGACTCAAGTTCATTTAGAAAAATTAAGAATAACAAAGGACCTTAGTGTGATCCCTGTGGCACATGTAACTGAAATAGTCCTTCACTTAAATTATTTTTGTTTTACAATCTGAGTTAATATAAAGAATTAATTTTATTTATTGCTTCTGTATTTGATAATATATTTATGATTTCTCGCCAATTAAATCTCTAGGTGGTGAGTTCCAAACGGCTATTTGTGAGTCTGTCTTTGGATTTACGACGTCGAGGTCAATTATTGAAGTAACTAGAATATCAAGAAGAGAGTTATTCGTAGTATAATTTTTTCTCTAAATTTCACCTGTCACCGCAGTAATTAAGTTACAAAGAAATCTGTTTCAACGTTCCTCGCGAACTTTTGGTTATTCAAAGGCAGTTCTTGACTGAGTTTAGTCAAAATCTGTGGAAGAACAACTTCAGATCCTGCTTCCAAAACCTATGAACAAACGAGTCGATGTCATGATCGCCAAAACTTGCAGACAACTGACGATTTGCGTACGGGACAAGTTTTATATATAATACTTAATTTATTTGTATTTGCAACAGTACAGTATTATAAACAACTAGTCGATTGGATTTCAATTTATGATTGTGGCAATACGGACGTTATAGAGAAAGCTACCCCACTGGCAGCCGCTCTGGATATTATATGTAATTATTATATTTAACTTTACAAAGTTAATTTGACACCATAAACTAAAAATGCTGCAAAAGAAGAAAAATCTTGTGTTGATTTTATATACAGAAAATTGTTAAGACCATCACACAACAAAAATGGCGTAGCAGGAGAACAGGCTAAAGGTCATTTGTAACGATTAAGAATAAAGGACTCAAGTGTGATCCCTGGGGTACTCCCAGATATGATTGAAATAAAACTTTTTTTTTAAATGTATTTATGCTGATAAGGTTTTTCCATTAGTTCTTGCAAATTAAATCGATATATGGTAAACTATAAATGGCGATCTCTGAGTCTGCCTTTGTATTTGATGTTGGAAATACCTGACTCGAGGTCAATTAATGATTGAAGTAGCAAGAAAATCAATAAGACAGTTATTCTTTGTTTCATTTTTTCTCTAAATTTCACTGATCTATCCATGGTAGTTGTCAAAGAAATTCTCTAAAACGTTTATCGCGAACTTTTGGTTCTGCAAAGGCAGTTATTGACTGGGTTAAGGCAAAATCTGATATTCTTTGGAAACATGAGTTTAAATGAAGGTCTGAGAGGAAAATAATTTGGGGATGAAAGACTTCAGATCGTGCAAAAACGCACCAATAAACAAACGTTTTCGATGTTAAGGTCACGGGAACTTGCAGAAATCTGTCGATCCGCATACCGGACAAGTTTTATATTTAAATTTAGAAAGTTAATTTGATACCAAAAACTAAAATTGCTGCTAAAGGAGAGAATCATGTGTTGATTTTAGGAAAAAGGAAAATTTTTAAATCATTATACAACAAAAATGGAGTAGCAGGAAAAACGGACTCAAGGTCATTTAAAAACGATTAAGAATAAAAAAGGATTTAAGTGTGATCCCTGGGGCACTCCCTGATATGACTGAAGTAGACCTTTTTTAATTATATCTGTAGTCAGCATGCTGGTAAGGTTTCCAAGTTGTCCCAAATTTAATCTATATGGTGGACTATAAATGGCAATCTCTGAGTCTGTCTTTGGAATTGACGTCGAGATCAATTATTGATTGATGTAACTAGAGATCAATAAAACTTTATCCTTATCATTTCCCCCTAAATTTTATCGGGTCTTCCCATGGTCGTTGCCAAAGAAATCCTTCCCAACGTTTCTCGGGAAATTTCGGTTCTGGGAAGGAGTCCTTGACTGGGTTAAGGCAAAATCTGATATTCTTTGGACAAATGAGTTTAAAACAAGGTCTGGGATGAAATCAATTTGAAGACGAACAGCTTCAAATCGTGCTTAACGCAAAACGCACCTTTAAACAGACGATTTCGATGATAAGATCACCGGAACTAGCAGATAACTATAGATGTTTTGCATGCCGGTCAATTACAAGGAAATTACATAGTTTAGAGTTTATTGTGAGAAAATGTTCATTCCGAGGACTATCTGACGGTGATCTAACAAGACATAAGAAAAGCTACTCTTTCGAGATGAAAGCTCGCCCGGAACGAGCGTTGACAGGGCGCGTGACACTTGAAGGGGGAGTGGCCGGTATTGTCACCAACTCGAATTTTCCACTGATTGGAATGGTCCCTTAAAAAAAGGTGAATATTTGACGTCAAAATGAAAAGGGATGGGATGGGGTATCACGATTGACACCGGCCGGCCCAGATGCGATCGTTCGTCGACGAGGGTGACGTGCCGATATATTTTATTTATTTTTCGTTTAAACAGGAAAACCGGGACGCCGGGACGTTCTCCGGCTGGGGGCAAGCCGGAAAGAGGAGTTTTCAAGACGGGAAAAGACCGATAAGGGGAAAATGGCCACCGGGAACGGCGTTAACCCCTATTCCTTGGAAACCGTCTGAGGCATGATGTAAAGGGTTTATTCCAAATCGGTTTCGTCTCAGAGGAAACGTCCTAGGATTAACGGTACCGTTGGTAATAGAGTTTGAATCAATAAGGCTGGAAACGAGGCGGAAAGGGACGGGACGAAGGGGTCGGGGGTGGGCGAAGGGGGTTGTAGCGGGTGAGTCGGACTCAATGGTGTCTGATAGTATGTTCGTAGTACACACCTGGGGCAGAGTCGCGGCGATTTGTCTCTGGAGAGAGTCTCTCTCCTTCTCCACCTCTCCTAATTTGGCCTCCGTCTCGCTGAGCCTCTCCTGGGTCTCCCTCAGGGTGTCGACGAGTTTGTCCCTCTCGTCGAGCATCGTAACCATGAGCTGCTCGAAATTGGCATCCTCGCCGGAAAACTGGGAGCTCCGCTGGCTCACCGTGTCCTCCGATATCGTCGGCATAACGTCGCACATCATGTTCCACATTTTTTTCACAACCGACCTCCTAATCTCGAAAACTGGCTGAGGAAAGAATCCCTGTACCTGGCGGATCGGCCTCACGTACAAAATTTCAACATTTCGTACGGGAGTCGCAGAACGCGGAACGGGGCGTTTTCACGGCCGGAACCGGGCACTCGTCACACTTCGGCCCCTCGGAGGCGGCTCCCAACGGCATTATTGATGTGCGACCGGAGAGGAAAAAAACAAGCGACACACCTACAAAGACGACCACCGTTCTCTCAACTACTGGCACTCTCGGCCGAGTCGACCATCTTGCCTCAGTGACGTCACCGATAGAGAAACCCCACGAGCCCCGCCGAAAAGGGCCGAACGCCGTTCACAGCAGACGGAAAATTCCAAATCACACCTCGAGAATTAAATTCAGCCGGTAAACGGAAAAATCCGCCGGGTTTCGTCCAACGGGACAATTTTGTCGGCAAGGGTCAGCGAAACGGGAGGTCGTGGATTCGCCTCGCGCCCCGTGGGAGATCCCTGAAATTCGCCCGACACTCGGCAGTCGGCTGATAAAATAAAACCTCCTCGACTCTCGAACCCATCCGCGAAATGGCCGAGAGGAGAATTCGGTCCGAGCCGGACGACAATCGATTTAATGACGGTAATTAACAAACTTATTGTTTGAAATAAGGAGCTGGATGGAAAATTAAAACTGATTAGCAATTACTGATAATTAGTTTCACTCCAAATGAGAGAAAGGAAGATGTTAAATCTCAACACTTTTTTTCATTTCAGCTTTATCTATTTACAGCTCATAGTCAGAGAGCTATAATGGCGTAATATAAATAGTCTTAAAATAGGGCACAAATTCAAGAATATAATCTATTCCTCCGATAAATTGTCCGTCTTTGACTTTACCATAAGCATATGTAAAGTTGAGACAAATGTTGTTCACTCTAAAGCCCCCATACACCTACGATCAAATTGCACAATTGAGGCTGTTGGGCAAACAATTGTATGGTGTATGGTGTTGTTTGAGGTGCTCCTGGAGTTTGAAAAAAAGTGCGTATAGTGTATGGGGAGCCTTGTTTGCACAACAGCCTGTTGTACAATGTAGGTTTGCACAATTAGTAGGTGTATGGGGGGGGGCTTAAGATAAAGAAGGATATACAATGGATAAGGATTTTACAGTGGAGGAAGAAAAGTACTCTAGATTGACGAATCAAAGTTTCAGGTATTTGGATCAAGTCGCAGGATTATGGTTCGTCGTTTTAGTTTATTCCTCAGTACATAATCCTAACTTTTAAGCATGGAGGAGATCCAGTTTTTTTGTGGGGTGTTTCTCGAGATTTGGACAAGGAGATCCCATACAAATTCAAGGAATACTCAACAAAGAGAGACAAAAACATTTTAAAAGGCCACGCAATCCCTGCTGGTTTTTGTTTAATTTGTTCTGGTTTTATTATGCAACAAGATAATGATCCTAAACATTCTTCCAAACTTTGTAGAGGCTATTTACAAGAAAAAGAAAATGGAGGCATTTTGAAGAAGATGATTTGGCCAGCTCAATCTGTGGATCTCAATCCAATTGAACTGGTTTGGGAAGAACAGGGTATGAACGTCCAAACTTATGCTCTAACTTCACAGAATCAATCTCCTCCAAAGTGTTGGAATGCCTTTTGAAAAATTAAAAAATCTTATAGAAAGAATGCCATGAGTAGTACAAGCTGTCTTGATAAGCAAGGGGGGATTTTTTGACAAGAAAAAAAAGTATAGATCACATTTTTTTCTAGATTATTATTATTAATCCATTGCTGTATATCATCTTAAGTACCTTTATTCCACAGTTATCTTGTTATTGTTTTAATAAAATTTTATTTGAAATCTTTATTTTCATTCTTTTATTGCAAAAAATGGAGGTGGTCCTGAACTTTTGACTGGCAGTGTAGATCTGTTGGTGGTCAGTCAGGAATTAAGAATGGAAATGGCTGGTTACTTTCCGTGTAATGCATATTGGTTGTATACAGATGGTTTGAAAATTTAGGGTAGTTCGGGATGTGCCTATTATGACCCACAAATAAAATCTGATCAAATATTTAGGCTTCTGGATGAAGCATCAGTTTTCGTTTGCAAACTAGACGCCATAAGAGTGGCAACGAGATACCTACTAAACTCTCCAGAGCCAGAACGGGTATGTGTTATTTTATCAAATAGTAGAAGTGCATTGGATGCTTTAGTAACACACACGAGCAGCAACATAAACTTTAAAAAATGCACAAGGGAAGTGTATGAGAATTCATGTGAATTCTAGCACTTGCAAAGGAGGCTGCATCAAGTGGAAGAAGTGTATGCATTAGGCTCCCATATTCTGATTTGTACAGTGTAGCGAAAAAACGGAATGTGGAGGGATGGCAACATTGGTATGAGGAAATAGGGTTTGGTTTATAAAGGGATGTTCCCCAATGTATTATTTGGAAGCTTGGTTTTCAGGAAGTAGTGTTAATGAAAAAACGTGCAGGACAGTCAATAGGTTAAAATCTAACCACAGAATACGTATAGCATATCTAAAGAAAATCCATTTGGAGGAGGACGAGTGGTGTGCATGTGGCGAGGAGGAAACTTTGGTGCACATCATAATTACATGTCCAAAGTATACTCAGCAGCGGGAAGAAATGTTTCAGGAAGTAAAATCAAAGATTAACAATAAGCCAGTAGAATATGACAGTATATTGAAGTCTCAATCAGTGAAAGTGTACGGCACAATCGTAAACTTTTAAAAAATAATAAGGATATAAAAATTATATTAAAAAAATTCTTTAAATTGATATGGCTGGGGTATAAAATGGAGCAAAAAAAAAAATTTTAAGGATAAGGGGCAACTTTACTACATAGCTCATTGCGCACAATAAAAGTTAGAATATTTATTCCCTGTCACACAAAGACTAGTGTTTACAGATAATTTAGCTGCGCTGCTGTCCATATAGAATCAATTCTCCCTTAATTCAGGAAATATTCCTAACCCTGATGTCATTTTGGTTGACAAATGTCACCTTCCTATTCATGTGGATTACGGCTCATTCGCGGTGACCAAGGAAAGAATCTGGATATATCGAGTCTCAGGGGAAGACTTTCTAGACTGTATCAAGAGGGCAATTTGGGAAAAGGAGCATCAAAGGCCCCTTAAGCTGAGAGATTTTATGGAAGATATAACATAATGGTCTACCGCCACTCGAACCCATAAGGAAGAAACTAGCTTGCCTCAGAAAATGTCATTGCAAACTCACACAATTTTCTCATAGCGAGAGAACCTCCACTGATCTTCCAAAGTTGTCATGAACCACTAACAGCTTTACTAATATTTTTACTGCCTCAATTTCTTGAGGATGGTTGGACTGCTCTCTAAAATATAGAAGGCGAGGCATGATTGGGTGTAGTGATATTGGCCCTCTTGTTGGCCAGCGGTTTCTCTTCATCACCACCCCAAAACATATTTCTCTTTAACACCTTTGCAAGAAAAGGGGCTGCTATACCGCTGATAGGACCCAAACCCTTCTGTGGTATAGGATCCCACACTATCCATGAGTACTACACATGAGTACCTCAGACACAAGGATAAAATGAAAATGAGGGAACAATGGAACTCACTCATTGCGCACAAACAATCCAAGAACCTCCTAACAAATTTTGGAAGGGAAAAAGAAATAGATTGTATCAAAGGAAGCAGGAAAAAACAGTGAATCTTAACAGGAAGAGAAGAGCAGTATAACCCAAGATGGCATGTGCAGATTCTTCAAAGACGCAGAGGAGACTAACACGCCTATTAACAAACTGGTGCTACACTTGCCCCCGCACTATGTGACCGTAGAAGAAATTCAACCACTTAAACCGGGTGAAAGAAAAAAGGCGCAGTATATTTTACCCTTACTAATACATCTACATATATTTCTGTTCAAGAAGATGATGACCCTTAGTGGTTGCTTGCCTTTATTAATAATAATTGAAAAAATTAGTCTTAGGCTGGTTGTACACCAATTTACAACTGATTGTCTGAGATGAATAGCTGTAATGGATAGACAGAAATATTCTTATATTAATATATTATGTATCGGTACATAGGGAAAGAACGTGCAACACATCAAATTTTGGATGGAAATTTGCATTTTATTGTATTAAAATTTGTCTACAAATGGATGAAAGAAGGGCATGAAAATCACAAAATTTAGGTTTAGTCATAAAATGGCATTTATTTACCACCGAATCTGAAATAAGAATAGAAATGAAGCGAATTTGAAAGAATGAAAAACAAAAATTCCTATGTTAATCTATCGACAAATATATCCACTTTAACAAGAATTAGAAATCACCCGTCCATTCTCTAGAAAATGGCATCATATTAAAATTAAGTGTTTCACAATTTTTTCTTTGCATATTTTGGTGCAGGGGTGTTGAAAAGAGAAAAAATTTCTTCAAATATTGAATGGAATAGATAATCATATCCTGGCCCGGTATGCTGGGGAGATATTTGTAAGATTTCAAGTGTTAATTCTCACCTTAATTTTAGTTTAATAATAGTGTATGTTTTCCCTTTGACTTAAATTTCCCCTGTATTTTAGTTTGTACAGGAGCAAGTCCATTTTGCTTAAATAATTTTTTATTTAATTTATTATTTTTTGCATTCTATTAGAAAAATCAACATTATAAGGAAGAGTATTTTTTTATGGGTAAAAAACCCACTTATTAAAAAAACGTATAGAAAAGTAAGGAGAAAAAATACAATACAATGCTTACAACTAACTCAACATTAATAAGAATAAAACACTATACTATACATTAACGAAAAAGACAATAAAATCCTTGTAAATAAAACAACATAAAGATTTAATTAAACAAAAACCATCTGTCCATTTACTAGAAAATGGCATCAAAATAAAATTAACTGTACACAATTTTTATCATTCAATTCAGATTCTTAGTAGAGTGGATCTACCACCCAACCAAAGAATGGATTTCATCGACTTTTTTATATCAGTGGAAGATTAGCTTAATTAAAATTAGATGTTAAATTTTCTGAGATGAACAGCTGCAATGGATCAATAGATAAATTCTTATACTAATATATAATGTATAAGTACTAAGAGTCATTACTAAGAGTCATCTAATGGCTAGAGAACCACCCCCTGTCTGTTCTTCTTGTAATGATATTATTACAACAAAACACATTCTTCTGCACTGTCCAATCTATTCAGCCTACAGACATCACATCTCTTATCCGCAAACCCTCTATAACATACTAAAAGACGAGCCAGGTATCATAGATCAACTTTTCTAGTATCTTAAGACTGCTGATTTAATGAACAGGATATAAATTAGTGGGCCCTTTGCCATTTGTGTGGGCAGGTGGGTCTTGTTCCCTGGGGGTTTGGCCGGGGCCGGGGGTCAGGTGCGGCGGAGGGTCGTGTGCTTTGCATATGGGTGAAAAAGAATACTCCGGCTTTTGAGGGATGTGGATGTTCACAGCCCATGCACATCCTTTCAGGAGAGCCGAAACAATGTTAGTTCAGCGATAACGACATGCTGTTTATATTTGTAGTGATCGTCCCTCTGCAATGCGGCTGGCCCTCTGGGCCTCTTCCTCTCTGGAAGGCTGCATTTGATGGATATTTTAAAGCAGGTATGACCTTAGTGGTTTTATGCCTTAAAAAAAAAAAATGGAGGTAAATTTGCGTTTTATTGTAATTTATTTGTAATAAATTTAACTAGAAATAGAGGAAAGAAGGGCGTGCAATCACAAACTGTAGGTTTTATCATAAAATAGCATTTATTTCAATCATCAAGTTTTGATGCAAACAATTAAACTATAATAGGAAGGTAAAGAAGACAAGAAGCGATTAGCTGCGTCAAAAGCCCATATCATGTTATTCTACTCAACATGTAAAATAATTATTACGAAAGAAGGGTCAAATTTAAGTTTTGAGTTAAGTTCATAGAATTTCATAAAACCCACAGTAACACTTTTTTTCATTGTATTATGACACCCTAGTGATTTTGGGTTCGAATCCTAGCATAGCCCTTGGGCTTTTATTTGTGAAGAATTCAAGAAAAAAGAACTATGAGCTGGTGTCTGATTCATCCACAACACCCAACAGGTAGTTGGACATTAAGCTCTGCTATAATGTGGGAGGTTTATGGACTGACAAATAGCTGAGGTAATCGTCGGCCCTCTGCGTGTTTTTATTTCTCTTCTGGTCTAAATTTTTTTTTTTTTTTTAAGTGCAGACCTTTGAGTGCCTCAATCTGGTTATTGACTTTCTGCTTTTATACGTTTACTAGATCTTTTTCCTAAAATGCTAGCCCTATCAACTATGAATGTTTAATGTATAAATGCAGTAGTATAAAGTTAAATATTTAATTGTATTGGGTTGTCCGGAAAATAATGCAGGATTTTGGTATTAAACAAAAAAAAAGAAACTAGTTACTTTAAAGCAATGTTCTTTAATCAAAATAATTTCCCANTGAGTAATCCTGTAAACGTAAACAGAATATTTTATATAGATTTTTTTTTAATGAAAACTTAAAATCCTGCATTATTTTCCGGACAACCCGATAATAACATTTTTTTTTTTTAGTTGAGTCCACACATACCAGAGAACAAGATGATGATGACCCCAGAGCAAGAGCTGGAGGTAATCATGTAATTTTTATAATTGCAGTTATTGTGTTTTGTAATTGTGACATTATTTATGGCCAATAAAAATGCATAAAATTTGAAAACCATATGCAAATTAGACAATTTTTTTACATATTAAGTTGATAGCAGATACAAGGTTAAAAAAATCTTATGTTAGTAATTTAAATTTATTATTAAAAATTATCATATTTTAAGTTCTTCATGAAAATATGGTGTTTGCTCAATAATTACTCATTTATTTTTATTTTTTTGAACTGGCCCAAAGCTTTCGAGAAATAAAACCTGAGCGGAACAGTTCAAAAAAAGGTAATAAAGGAGTAATGTATTGTGTTTTCATTATCTTTTAAAAAAATCTTCAGTCATAGATCACCACTATAAACATAAAATGTACTGCACTAAATTGCCATTAAGAGGACTTGAAGATTTTACCTATTCAAAGAATTTACCTCAAGAAATTTGGTACACAATTTCTGGTTATATTTTACCCATGGATGTTTTGTCTTTTGCCCTCATTTGTAAACAGAGTTATTTTGTTTTGAACATGCCATCTTTTTGGATCAGGCTTTATAAAAGGTAATAAATTGTTATCATCTTTAAAATGTTTGGGATGAAGAGAATAGAAGATGGTTGCAGGTACTCGCTTACTAATGCCAGGGTACCACCGAAATTAAAAAATGATATACTAGAAAAGACCCTCGGCTTGAAGACTAACGTCGTGAAATCGCTCTTCTTCTCTTACCCACCATTTGTAAACAGGAAAAATAAATTAGACACTTATGAAAAAGTTTTGGGCATGAAGTGCATTGACAGTTTGATCCATCCAAAATGCAACGAAGAAAGTCTGGTAACTTTTTAAAACTTTTCGTATATTGGAAGAATTTTTTTTTTATAACCAATTATTATTATTTTTAGGAAACTTTCTGCTGGGTGTATGATTTTATATTTGAAAAATTCAAGATTAACACTGCAATAAGCTCTAAGGAAAAATATCCAATAAACTATAATCCAGACATTGGAAAAACAATTTTACGTGTAAGTAAATCAATATATAAACTATGATTAATTAATAATTTATATTTTATTTAACAGATCAAAGCGGATAATTATTGCATTATCAAGCAGATATTTGGATTGCATGTGAAAAAAGTCAAATATAACAAATTATTGCGATCTGTACACATTGAATTTGGACCGGCTTACCTTCCAACAGATTCTAATGCGAATGCAGTCAACGTGTACGTGTACACAGTAGATGAGCCACCAGGAGTTTTTGAATGGTGGCATCCATCATATTATGAAGAGTTTTAAAAGTATTTTTTAAAAAGAAATGTGTACAAAAATGCTATATTTTTATTTAAAAATAAATAAATAAACTAGTTTTATGACCTGGTATTGCCCAGGGGGATAATAAAAAATGTTATTTAACACATTATTTTGAGTCTAATTAGTATTTTATTTTACCTACAATTAAATTTTACTTATGTATTTACACACAATAAACACAAACAAATTAATTATGTTAATTGATCATTGTAGCTGCCTGATGATGCTCAAAAATTAATAAAGCGAAACCAGTTGCAACATCCAAAAAAATATCAAGGAAATGATGGGAAACATCCTAAGAACCCTACATTGTTCAACACATCCACAACATCCCTTAACATTGTGATTAAATGTTTTTGCTTGAATCCTATGGTGTTCACGGTAAACTACCAAAATAGTTGAACAATTATATTACTAGTAGATCTCAAATAGTTAAAGCGAAATCCTATAAATCAAAGAAACTTCTGGTAACTCGGTGAGTCCCGCAAAGATCTGATTTAGGACCACTTCTTTTTAAAATTTTATTAATGATATAGCAGCTGTCTCAGTGACGTGACCACTGCTTCAAAAGCTAATTCAGTTTCCAAAAAAATTCTTAACACTATTTCTTGTTTGTTAATAAAGTGTAATTTTAATTTTAGGTTGTTCATTACATATGATGAAAACATCTATTGAATGTTAGAAGATAATCAATTCCTACAAATACCTGGGTTTTAGAGGAGGCTTTGCTCTTATAAATTAATTACCAATTAAAACTAAATAATTTTTATGTGTTAATTATAGTTTGTTGCCAATGATTCATTCAACCTCCTTTTTTATCTGCTCCTGGGAAAAAAAATCAAGAATGATGATGTTAATGCACTAACATTACGTTTTTTCCCTCCCTCAAGTCCCAACATAATTAATTGTATTTTATACAATAAGGCCTATGGAAAATTTTACATGTCTATTTGAATGATGATCTGTTGTGAGAGAATTTTTTTTAATCTTCTGATTATTACATTGGCCAAAATTGAGCTTTATTCCAAATTCAGCTGTCTAATTACTGTATTTTTCTGTAAATCATGATTTCAATTGCCTATTTCATTTTGTTCATAACAATGTTTTTAAGCTTTAATACAACCGAATTGGTAAACAGAAGTAGTGTTTGGACCTAATGTAATCTGGTTTCAACAGCTTGCTACTGAAGACAAACTAAGAGTTGAATGTAGTTTTGTAACTATCAACAATAGATTTTCTCATGTGTCACTTTTCAGTTGAAAATGATTATTTGGAGATCATGAGATCACGGTCTGGTGTGACATAGGTTTTAGAAAAATATTTTCTTTATCGTGCCACACAACATCCCTATAACATTCTGATTAAATGTTTTTGCTTGAATCCTATGGTAAAATACTAAAATAGTTGAACAGTTACATTACTAGTAGATCTCAAATAGTTCAAGTGAAATTCTATAAAGCAAAAGAAGTTCTGGTAACTCTGGGAGTCCCGCAAGGGTCTGATTTAGGACCACTTCTTTTTAATAATTTTATTGATGATATATCTGTCTCAGTGACGTGACCATTTTCAACATGCTATTTCTTGTTTGTTAATGAAGCGTAATTTTAATTTAAGGCTGTTCATCAATTATGATGAAAATGACTACTATATCATGGAAGATAATCGATTCCTACAAATACCTTGGTTTTAGAGGAGGCTGTTCTCTTATAAATTAATTAGTAATTAAAACTAAATGATAATTTTCATGCGATAATTATAGTTTGTATAGCCAATGATTCATTCAACCTCCTTTTTTATCTGCCCCTGGAAAAACAATCAAGAATGATGATCCATATATCCAGTATTTTTCCCTCCCTCGAGAGCCCATATAATCATCTTTTATACAATATTGCCTACTGAAAATTTACAAGTTTGTTTGATTGATGATCCGTTGTGAGAGAGAATTTTTTTTATCTTCTGGTTATTAAATTGGCCAAAATTGGGCTTTATTCAAATTCAGCTGTCTAATCACTGTACTTTTCTGTAAATCATGACCTCAATTGCCTATTTCATTTTGTTCTTAAAAATATTTGTAAGTTTTAAGACAATAGAATAGGTAAACGGAAGTAGTGTTTGGACTTAATATAATCTGGTTTTAACAGCTTGCTACTGAAGACACCCCATACTCATGCATTAAGGTTCAATACGTTTTTAAAATTATGCTGAAAGAGTTAAAGTATTAAAAGACAGTAAAACCAAGAGTTAAAAGTAGTTTTGTAACTATCAACAATAGATTTTCTCATGTGTCACTTCTCTGTTGAAAATTTAATAGCAATTAAATCCACTAATTTCGTGGTCCGCTTGACCAATTAATATATTACAATTAATTAAGGTTTTTAGTCGAGATAAAAAACCTTAATTAATTGTAATATATTAATTGGTCAAGCGGACCACGAAATTAGTGAATTTAATGATTTAAAATGAAGTGTACTTCACTAAAGCTCTCCGTGGCCATTTCATTTGTCGTCGAGAATCCAATCCGATTACACATTTGAAAAATGGCAAAAAGGAGGGAAAATTCAAAAGGTGGGGTTGAGATGGGAAGTTAGAGTCGAAGTCACGATAGCTCAAGTGGTAGAGCAGCGGCGTATCTAGCCGAAGATCGTGGGTTCGAATCCCTCTCGTGCCATTGACTTTTTTATCTCAATAGCAATATTAAAGTCGTGATTGTAAATGTTCGATGTTGCTACAGTGGATCGTCAGATTGCTCTTGTAGACAATTGAATCCTTTTGGATGGCATTGAGTTACAGGACTCCCTTGCACAGCACCTGTAATTGTAGTGTAGATGCTGGTGGTAAAGAGATTTCATTTACCCCCTTTTGCGGTTACCAAATTAGCGTTAGCCACCTGCCGTGTTACCGAAGCACTATCACCTTTCCATCAGACTCTGCAACGTCTCGGATAAAAACACTATTTACTTGTATCAGGCGGTAATTAATTGTGGGCGAACGATTTTGTAGATTCTTCGTTGAGCATTTGAAGTAAAGCCTGTCTTTTGTTTAAATGTAATGTTTATTGTCCGGTTTGTTTTTATATTCTGGACGGATCGCGATAGATAATTAATTAGCGTTACCTTATGCATTTAGATGCAACATTTTGCTCAATGAAAGTTTCCTCTTTTAAGATGGAATTTTCGTCGACCTAGGAACGTAAACGGTCATCCGGAGTTATAATCCATTCCGGGCTTTCAGACACGTCAAGGTTCAAGTTATCAGCATTGACGAACTTAGTTCGTCCCAAATAATGTGGACTTCGACCCGTCTGAATTTGGCATTAAAAGAAACAACAAAAATATGGTCTTGCAATACACTGGGTCGTTATAATTTCTCCATTTATCATGCGCAAATTATTTGATAATTTTTATGTTATTTTCTACGTACGTTTATGGTCGTGGTTACACCAATTGTTATTTTGAGTAATTTCTCAAACTTGGCTTAAAGAAATGAATGCCACTTCTTTATTTTAATAAATTTTTGTTGTTTTATTCGGTCTTCAACCAACTTTGCCAACCTGATAATAAAAGTGATCCTGGTCTCGTTGCGTAGGTCTGTAAGACGGATTTTCGCTTTTCACCATCTTCAGTTTTGGGTTTGTTATATAACAATATTAACAGAAACCTGTATTTATTAGAAAATAAATCGAAATGAAGAGCAAATAGTAAGTCAGTCAGAGGACGGAAAGGGTAAGGAAAAAACATCGCTGATCGAGCGTCCAGAACAATCCATGATAGAGCAAAACAGCGAGGACAGGGGGACCTGCCGACCAAAGTAAAGGATCATTATACAACAGATACGAAGGGGATGATGATGTTAAAGATGGATGATTCTAGAAAGTGGGGTTAGTGCTCCCCAAACAATGAAGCCTTTTGGCTTATGGTACCTCCTGGCTCCTTAGTTTCTTACTTCAGTGCGATCGACTCAATACTTCTCACAAGTATTAGGTCATTGATATTTTGCGCCTAAGTAATTGTGCCGTTGCTTCGCATTCGAAGATGATATGGTTTCTTCCTGTTTTCTGCTGTTTCTTCCTCCTCATTGCATAATCTGCAAATGGGGTCATCGTTGAATATGCCAATGATATGTGGATATTTTCTCAGATGCCAATGACTGGGTCATATCACTCCTCATTGGGTAATGGAGAATGCTGTATTTGTTTTGGTCATTCCAAGTATAGGTTCAGAGATTCAGAGCTTATATGATTATGCACATCCTCCTCTGGCCAGTGTGTCTGCTTTTCGGTACCCCAAATACCTTTGTTTCCGGGCATCCAAGGTATTATCAAGTTGTTGTGTTTCCCCAGGTTTTGGAGAGACTTTGGATGTATTCAGTGAATAATTTTGATTTGATATTTTACACGCTAATGCTTTAATAGCTGCTTGGCTATCAGATTTTATGAGGATATTTTTGCCATTGTAACTTCTTTTAAGCTCATGTTTTGGGTTTGTACAAAAAATGCGCGATCCGGATCCTTCATTTGTTTTGGAGCCATCTGTATATCATAACGTTGTATATACGGCAGACGGTTTTTATCCATGCCGTTATTTTATGTTAAGGCATATGTTCTATTTTGTAAACATTTTTTGCACTAATAAAGCATTATTATTATTATTGTTATTATTATTATTATTAACGTTGTATATGATTCTCTCCTGAGTTCTTCCTCTCCTTTATAGTCTATTAAGACATGTTATAAAGAATTAATTAAGGTTTTTAGTTGAAATAAAAAAAGTCAATGGCACGAGCGGGATTCGAACAATGGAAATTGAAAAATGGCAAAAAGGAGGGAAAATTCAAAAGGTGCGGTTGAGATGGGAAGTTGGTGTCCGAGTGGATCGAGGTCACGATAGCTCAAGTGGTAGAGCAGCAGCGTATCAAGCCGAAGATCGTGGGTTCGAATCCCGCTCGTGCCATTGACTTTTTTATCTCAACTAAAAACCTTAATTAATTGTAATATATAATTGGTCAAGCGGACCACGAAATTAGTTAAGTTATAAAGAATGTTTCCGCGATCATATAGTCAATCCCCACTTCTGGGAATGGGTGTTTGATTGTATTGTTGTGTGCCCGGTT